GTGAACCTCAAAACATTATACTAAGTGAAAGAAGTCAGGAATTAAAAGTCACGTATTGTATGATTGCATGTATATAAACCATCTGAAATAGGTGAATCCACAGAGACAGAAAGCAGATTGCCGGTTACAGGGGCATGGGGAGACAGAGAAATGGTGACTGACTGCTTAATGGATACAGGATTTTGTCTGGGGCTGAAGAAAATATTTTGGAACCAGAGAGAGTTGGTGGTTGTAAAATATTGTGAATACTACATGAGAATGAATTGTGCATTTAATTTTATGTTATATGAATTGAATTTCAATAAAAAAGATATAACTGAAAAGGTATATACCCCGCTTATTTAGCATTTAGTAGTCTACACTAACAGAAAAAGCAAAGCAAATAGCCTACGTAGTAAGCAACCTTTCTATAAAACAGAAACTCTTTTGTTAACGTGAAAAACAGTACATGGTATAGCACAATATGATGAATGAAAGCCAAATACATTTCTGAAATAAGTAAACGTAAATTGATTTATATCACCCAATAAATGAAAATTATTTTAAGATGAGATAAGAAAACAAAGAGCAACTCTGTTTGGCATACATGGCAAACACAGAAAAGTTATTTCAGAGAAGTTAAAAGTAAAATTTTGGGCAAAGTCATGCTAGGGAAATGCAATCCAAAAATAAAAAGAAAACATTTTAACCTTAATATTGAAAAGACATATCATGGAATTCAAGGTTTTTATACACAAAAAGAACAACCAGCTGGAAAATATAAAGAAAGAAAATGTTTCTATTTATCATAGCATTTGAAAAGGTAGAATGATATTAATAAGAAATACACAAGAACTTCTTGAAGAAAATTTCAATACATATTAAAAGAAACAAAAGGAGACTAAACAAATATAAATATATATCATGCTCTTGGATTGGATTTGATTTGTACATCATGAGGGTATTTTTCTTAATTTATAAATATGAAATCCAAAAAAACACACAAAAAACCAGCAGGCATTTTTCTTTTTCCTTTTAACTAGGTAAATTACCTAGCTGATTTTATAGTTCCTATATTTAATTTAAAAAACGGAAAAATTCTAGAAGTGAAAAGAAAAAAATGAGCGAATTAAAATTACCAGAAAATAAAACAAAGCCTTAGGAACCAAAATGCCATTGTATTGGGGTGCATAAACAGACATTCAGTCAACATGATATAACAGAAAAGTATTTTAAAAGTGAAAAAAACATAGACTAAACACGGGAATTTAATAAAAGTTAAAGTTAATATCTTCAAGCAGTATGGAAAAGATGGACGATTAAAAAATCTTGTGATGCCCTCACGGGGGAAAATTAAGTTGGTTGCATACCTCACATCTTATACTAGGATAAATTGCAAATAGATACATTATTTAAAGGTAGAAAATAACTATAAAGGTTTCAGAAGGAACGTGAGATCTTTCCTTAACATGTTTAAACATAAAAGGCCTTTCTAATCACAACCCCAAATCCAGAATCCTTTAAAAAAACGGATAAATTTGACAGAAAAAAACTTTATGCAGAATTAAGACAAACGACAGCATGGGAGGAAATGCTTGCAATTTGTAATATAAAGAATTAATCTGCTTGAGATATAAGGAGCTCACAGAAATCAAATTAAAAATGACCAAAGTCCAATGAAAAAAATGGAAAAAAATATGAACAGATGGCTCACAAAAAATAAAAATAGAAATGAAAAATTGGAAGAATGTAAAGACAGAAATACAAATGGTTCTTAAAACATATAAAATAATGGCTTAAAGAAAGCTAAGAGATGCTATTTTTCACCTGATGTTCTTTTGCTGCCAGTGATAGCATCACATTTTATAATCCCTATAGGACCACTTAGCAATGACTGTCAAAATTCAAAGTCTGTCCCACACACAGGCTGACATATGAGAAGTTACGGATACACACAATTATTTTTTGCAGCACCTGCATTGCAAAAGATGGACACCAAGAAGTCTATTGGTAGGAGAATGATTAAATACATTAAATTCATACAATGGAATACTATGCATTTTTTTTAATATGAGCAACTCTGTACACAGGCAACAAAATATCTGCAATATACATTGTTAAGTAAAGAATGCAGGTTATAATCTCATTTTCAAATCACATGTATTGCAAATATGGTTTTTAAGTGTTTACTATAAGAAAGGAGGAAAGCAGAACTACATTTGCATTTGTTTGTGTTAACATAGAGAGAGTCTGAAGTCTACATAGGAAACTAAAAGTGAGGTGAGTGTGGGCAGGAACAGATGGCAAAAAGAGCAATCCACACTCTTTGTGCTTTTTTATTTTTTGCAACATGTGAATGCATTACCTATTCAAAATTTAGATTAAAATTCAAAAAAACAAATGAACAGAAAAGACATGAGACTACATTCTGATAAACCCCTCTTGTCTTCTTCTGTTTTGTGAAGTTTACCTCTGCCCTCACTGTCTGGACAAAAGTATGGGGGAGAGCAAGCATAGGAACTCAAAATATCAGATGGACGTAGCCCTGCTCCTTTCAACCTCCATATCCCCGGAATACAAAACATGATTTCATCTCATGACCTGATGTTATGTATAATACAATAGGATAATATATAGAATATGCTAATAATATTATAATATATAATATGCTAATAATAATATATTGTTTCCCCAGAAGATAATAATATATTAATATTATTATACATAATTATTATAATACATTATATATTGTATAATGTATAATTACATATTATATGCTAATAATATTAATAATATATTATTATCTTTTCCCGGAAGACTTCTTATTTTACTGTGCAAGTAAAATGCTTCATTGAGTACAACCTTTTTTAACAAAATGCAACCTGCCTCTATCTCCCTGCTAAATGTCCATGCACACTAACATTTATATACTGATCAAGGGTTTGCTGACATCACAAGGGCAACCTCTTCATCCTAAAGGTTGGAGCACTGCAAGCAAGCATCCCAGGTAAGCATCCCAGTTCAGCACCCCTGGATCTGTGGGAAGCGGTCACCACTCTAGGAAGACCACAGCATACTGTCCAATTCACAAGCACATTGGAGTATATAACAGCTGCATCATTTGGTGCAATTTATAGCATTTTGGGGGGTAGGGGAAAATGTGTAAAGTAAACCTTTTCCAAGGAACTTTTTAAAACTGTAACTTTGGCCCTTAAGATCTCCTGGCTTTCTTTTCCTTCTTAGGAAACAGTGTGCTGCTTATTAAAAGTTGCAAACATGATTTGGGAAAATGTTGAGCAATAAATAATAGATTTACAAGTAGTTTAGTACTTGTGTTGTATCTAGGACAATGAAAGTCACACAGAAAAAAACACAGATGAAAAGAGCATGCCTGGGAATCATTACCAGGGCCAACTCACATTCATTATCTGTGCTTGTTTTGTTTTGCCCATTCCTCATTGCCTAGCTTAACCTCCAGATACTCCTGAACTCATAGTTGGTTCACAACACAAAACTTCCTCCTGCCCCCGGCTGCTTTGCTGCCCTCCACAGCATTTCATCTCATCTATATTTTACTTGTTCATTTGTGGGCTGTTGGGTCTTCTGTTTGTTTTCTCCTCATCCAGAGGTAAGCTCTTTCAAAGTAGAAAACCACATATATGGACTTGCGATGGTTTGGCTTAGACTTTTCAACTTTACGAAGGTATGAAAGCCACATACATTCAGGAGAAATCATACTTCAGTCCGGTATTCAAAACATAATATGAGCTACTCAATACTTTCCTATAAAATGGGCTTCGTGTTAGATGATTTTGTCCAATTGCAGGCTAATGTAAGTGTTCTGAGCGTGTTTATGATAGGCGAGACTAAGCTATGATATTTGGTAAGTTAGATGTCTTAACTGCTTTTTTCAATGTATGTTGTTTTCAGCTTAGGGTGGGTTTATCAGGACATAACTCCATCGTAAGCCGACGAGCATTTGTACATATTTTAATCACTGATACCCCCAGTGAACATACAGTAATTAGAATATTGTATGTTCTTAATCAATAAATGTAAAATAAATGAATCAACGAATGTGTGAGTGAACGAGTGGTTCTTTTTTAGAACATTTTTGTTCATTAGTTATCTTATATAAACAAACGTTACTATAGAGCAGCAATTTCCATTCCCTTTCGGAAAGAGGTCGATACATGATAAAGTGGCATAGTCACAAAAATTTGTGAAAACTGGATGAAACAAAGTTAAACAAATATCTTTTATTAAAGTAGGACTACTTAGATTCAATAACTTGCTAATGTGCCTGTGACCCAAAGAAAAATATATAAGATGCTATGTTTCCAAATTTATTTGACACTGAAACTCTTATTTCAAGGACCATTTCTCTGGATTAATATTCCGGGTGATACATGTTGGGAAATGACATTAAAAGTTGTTTCTTTGTGAACCTGTATTCAGGCCATTATTACAGAAAACACTTACTTGTCTAAAATTAAAACCATAAAAAGCTTCAAATAACTGAAAAATGTAAAACATTCTAAATTATCAAGCAATAATTTGACATTGGAAATTTATTTTAAAAATACAGTTTTTAAATAATCTGTTCAGTTTTATTTTCCTCTTTTTATGATTTTTACAACTGAATATAACAGGAGAATTTGTGTTTGTGAAGATGGTCTTGACTCATTCTAAAAGACAAAATGCTGTCTAAATAATAAAAATTAAATTTGATTTAGTATTGATTTTTATTTTATTGTAATGTTAATTATTTAACATTTCTAAGTATTAGTGCCTCTAAGGTCATTCTCCTTATTAGATTATTACTTAAGCCTTAATTATTATTTATTCCCAAGTCATTTTGAATAAATGTAAGTTTATTATTTTTTATTTAGTTATAAGAAGTTTTGCGATGGATGATTGACTTTAGATGCAATTCAAATATAGTCTTTAGACTTGAAACTTACAAATATTTGGAGTGGACTGAATTCTAAGTAGAAAAAGTACTGGGGATATTTTATTACCTTTTTGTATAGTTGGTGTTTCACTGTCTGCAATCAGTTGCAAGCAGTCTTGAATGACTAAAAAGCAAAAATTTATCATTTTAGTTACTTGAGTAGAAATAATAAAGAAATGAACAGAGAACACAAAGCTACAAACCCATTCTTCCAGGAACACTAAATCAATTACACTTTTTACATTGATTCCATAATATTATTCTTAAAGTTACTTTACAATATTTGCCCACTGATTTATATATATATTTATATATATCATATATCTATGAAATTCATGACATTTCAGAAAAGCTCTATGTGCTGTTAAAATATAATAAGTATATCACCTGTACAGTTTAACCTAATTTGCTTTGAAAAGTGGCTGAAGAGAAAGCAAGTTTAATCATTTGTTTAGCACATCTACCAAATACATGAAACAGTTAACCTTATAAGATCATTCTAAACAGTCTTTTGCTTTAAAAACTCTAACATGAAATCATGACTTATTACCACAGAAAATACTATTTCTGACACTTCTAAAAGTTAAAAAATGCTAATATTTATTGAACAGATTTAAGTGCAGACAGTGTACCAAGACTTAGTATATATCACTTCCATTTATCCTCACAGGAATCCTAAAAATTGGAAACTAAGGCTTGGAAAGTGTAAACAGCTTGTTCAGGAACTCAGAGACAGAAAGTGATGGGACCAGAATTTAAACCCCACCTGTTTCACTCTGGATCCAAAGTCAAGCTTTTGGTAAAATATATTAGACCAAAGAGAGAGAGAGATAGAACATCTTTTACAAATAAAATGGAAGACTTCCATGAGACTGCATATAATCAGTAAAGCTTCCTGAAAACATCAATTAACATCATATATTACATATTGAATATTTCAGTCAATATTTAAGAAACTAACATTGCGTTAAATAAGGAGAAATGCCTTTAGGCAAAAGCAAATTAAGGACACCTGCTGGAAGGTGTAGGGAAGATAAAATAAAGCAGTAAACATCTGTGAAAAATATGAAACATAAATCTAAGCTTGCATGTTTTAGATTAAGAAAATATTAGTTTAGTTCTTTATCTAGCAAATATTTTGCTCAGAGTTAAAATAATACTTTATGAAGATGATTCTCAATGCATACAGCCTCCGGAGTAGCTGGGACTATAGGCGCCCGCCACCACACCCGGCTAGTTTTTTTGTATTTTTAGTGGAGACGGGGTTTCACCGTGTTAGCCAGGATGGTCTCCATCTCCTGACCCGGTGATTCGCCTGCCTCGGCCTCCCAAAGTGCTGGGATTACAGGTGTGAGCCACTGCGCCCAGCCGTGACTTCCTATTTCAAGCCATCCTTTCCCTGTTTCCCAAAAGCTTCAGTAGGAGACGGCTATGGTCTGAATGTCTGTGTTGCCCCCAAATTCCTATGTTGAAACCTAACTGCTGAGGTGATGGCATTAGGAAGTAAAGCTTTGGGGAGGTGATTATGCCTTGAGGGCAGAGCACTCATGAATGGAATTAGCATCCTTATAAAAGAGATCCCAGAGAGCCAGCTTGCCCTTTTTCCCCAGGTGAGAACCCAGTGAGGAGGCATCATCTACAAGCCCAGGAAGCAAGTCCTCATCAGAGACCAAAATCTTCAGCTATCTTGGTCTTGGACTTCCGGCCCCCTGAACTGGGAGAAATAAATCTCTACTGTTTATAAGCCACCCAGTCTATGGTAGTTTGTTATAACAGCGTTGAATGAACTAAAGCAGATTTAGATACTCTGTGTAGTCAGAGAGAAGTTTACCTAATAAGTAATGCCTTGACACTATGAAAATGTCTCCATTTTAGTCTCCACAGCCCAATTAAAACTTGGCCACAACCTACACGTTGAAAAACAGTGTTCTATTCTCTCATGTAGTAGCAGAAATCTAACATTTAGCAAAAAATGTGCTTTAAAGAGAAAAGTTTATTTCAAGAACTGTTCTTCAGAAGAGAAAATAAGATATAAAATTGACGTTTCAATAATGAGGTGTAAATTACAGCCACTGAAGTTGTGTAAGTATGCTCTGATGTTTGCACAATGATAAAATTGCCTAGGGTTGCAGAATGTATACAGAATGAACAATTGTCCTTGTTCCAGAGAAAGTTACTTGGCTTTTCCAAGACAACTCGCTTTAGGAAATTTGTTAATTTCAACTGTTTCAGCTATTATCAACTTATCTCCTATTCAGTCTTTTAAGACTTTCTTTCTCATTCAACATAGATCTGGTCTTAGGCTGGAAATTAGCACTTGTCTCACAAAGAGAGGAGCAAAAAGGCGATATTATTTTTAATGTCTTCCAGTAGCATAGATATCTAACCACAAGAGTTTTGAAAATGCATAGTCTAACATAAGAAACACAATTTGATAACAATTGTCATATTAATTGATTATTGTTTGGTTCTCAAATGCCTTTTACACATCTCTCCCTCTACTGCAATTGAAAGGAATTACATAAGAGGTTAAGAATAGATTTTTTATGTTTGTTATTTTTTTTTCTTTTAACTAAGCAAGGCAATAATATACATTAAAACCTTTCTGAGCCTATGGAGACACATTTCTGAATATACGTTTCTGGGGATTATGATGTAATAATGTATAAAATACGTAATCTTATAAAATACCATTTTACAGCATAAGAAAATTTACTCATCATAATAAACTTCACATAAAATATTTCTAAAAACAAAATATTATAATGACAAAAATGTTTACAAAATAAAATTGCCAAAATAAGAACTTTAAGGACAAAAATAATTTGCTATTGATCAATATTTGACACAATAAAATTCAATACTTCACAATTAGAGTGTAATTTAAATACTATCCATATGGGAAACATTTTTACAGTTTGAAAGGCCACCTTTTGAAGCATAATGTCTAAATACCATTTAATCAGAAAAAGTGCTTTGAAAGTTTAGATAATTGTTACTATCTGTTATACTATTTTCTGTACTGGAATGAATCCATTAAAACTTGAAACTGGTTTATTATACATTATTTCAACAGAGCTAAATCTAATATGAACTACCATAAATAATGCAATTATTGCAGATTGTGTGTGGCTCCCATGAAAAACATTACACACACAGCATTCCCATTACGTTTATCCCATTCGTACCACCTGCACCCACGGATTCTTCATAGTGCTTCTCATTTATCTCATTCAAGAAGCCTCCTCCAGCTTTCAGTCTGGATGAGATGTGCGTCCTGTGTCTTCCTTTATCTCTTTGTGTTTTTTTTTTTTTTTTTCCTGTCATCTTATTTATTACACCATACATCATTAAAGGAGGAGGATCATGGATGGCAATGCCTCACTTTCATTTCTGCATAACTTATCATTTGGTAGATATAAGTTATGACGAATGTAGCAGTTTAATTTTTCTTGAACTAGCTTCAAATAATCAGTGGCAGAAAAATGTTAACTAGAGAAAACCACTAAAGATCTCAATATTGATCTAATATTTGACGTAGACTTATGAAGAAAATGGGGAAAGCATGATATTAAAGTAACACTTTCACTGAAATGAAAATACATGAATTTAGAGGATGAAATGAAAATACATGAATTAGTTTATAAGGTGTTATTTGACCATCGATAAGCAGTGTGCTTTGGTTGCTTACTTTAAAAAGTAATAAAATTTGAGAACTTTGAATTTTGAGAGAACTAGATTGAGAAGTATATATTGGCCTACTAGAAATCCTTGTAAGAGTTCTCAGTCTTGGGAGAGGTCTGCCTGACAGACCTTGTGCTTGAGGAAAATCATGTTCGTGTGTGTGTGAAGTGAGCTCCTGTGAAGGGAGGGTGACAGCAAAGGTCTCAGTGATTGACTGGGAAAAGACATAGGGTGAGGATGGTTTGCCCTCAAATGCAGTTATGCAAATGCAGCATCTAAGATACATTGTGAAGAAAAATTGAAGTCATGACCAATAGTTATGTGTGTTTGAAAGATAAACATTTATAATAAAAATAATTTTTTAATTTTGGAGAGTTCAGAAAGATAATAGCACTATAGTGCTCCAGAGAAAGTAAGAAAGGGGTGCTGGGTATTTTTTGGAAGGGGGTGTGGGAAAGGAGTTGATAGAATAGAAATAACCACAGCTGAAGGAGTAATGATAGATATTTCAAATGATAACTTTCTTTTCTTTTTTTCTTTTTCTTTTCCTTTTTTTTTTTTTTTTTTTGAGACAGGGTTCTGCCCTTGTTGCCCAGGCTGGAGTGCAATAGCACAATCTTGGCTCACTGCAAACTCCGCCTCCCAGGTTCACATGATTCTCCCGTCTCAGCCTTCTGAGTAGCTGGGATTACAGACTTGCGCCACCACACCTGGATAATTTTGTATTTTTGGTAGAGACAGAGTTTCTCTGTGTTGGTCAGGCTGGTCTCGAACTCCTGACCTCAGGTGATCCACCTGCCTCAGACTCCTGAAGTGCTGGGGTTACAAGTGTGAGCTACCACACCCGGCCTCAAATGATAATTTTCTATAACTTGCGTGTGTGTGTGTGTGTGTGTGTATGTGTGTGTTTGTATAGACAGAATCTTAAGCGCTAATTGATCATTGTCATGTATCCACTCATATTTTAACTATGTTTTATGCTTAAAGCAATATAGGAGATGTAAAATTGCAGGTCTTTTGCATTGCCTCATAGGCACTAAGAGTAAAAAAAAAGCATTATCATCACTTAATGTTGCTTCAGTTTACTATTTATCTAATATTTTAATTTTAAATTGACAATTTTGTATTTATATCATCATCTGTGTTTCTCCACGACTTCACTGAATTATGTTAGAATATTTCAATTTATTAATAATATATTCTCAGAACGCACTGAATATCAGGATCTTGCCAGTGAAGAACAGTAGCTTCATGATATCACATGTAAACCAACCTGATGTCAAGTAGGATAAAGCCAAAAATATAAACACAGATGAACAACTGTATAAAGTTACTAATGAATTGCACAATCAGCAATTAAGTCTTCACCTTCCCCTTGGACATTTCCATTTGGATGCCTTAGCGGTGCTTCAAATTCAGCGTCTCGAATATAATGCTTTA